CTTATAATACTTGTCATTATCTTAATTGTAAAGAATCAAATTTATTTTAAAAGAAATTAAAACAGAAAAAATTTTATTTAAACTTAACCGTACATTTAACATGTCTGTTTAAATGCATTGTTTAAAGTTTCTGTCTGCAATCATTTTCTTTCAGCCTGAAAAACATTCTTTTAAATATACCTTGTAGTGTATATCTTCTGGCAACAAGCATCTTTTAGCTTTTGTTTTCTGCCTTTATCTTTTAAAAACATTTTAGTTGGGAATAATTTTAGAATTACAGAAAATTTGCAAAGAAAGTTCAGAGAGTGTCCATACACTCTTTGCCCAGATTTCCCTAATGTTAACATCTTACATAGCCATGGTGCATTTGTCAAAGCTAATTAACAGTGGTGCAGGATTATTAACCTGAACTACAGACAGTATTTGGATTTTACCATTTTTTCCCACAGTATCCTTTTTCTCTTCCAAAAACCAACCAAGATACTGTGTTGCATTTAATCTTTATATCTCCTTAGTTTTCCTCAATCTATGGCAATTTCTTAGTTTTATATTTTTTATGACCTTGATAATTTTGAAGACTAGAGGCCAGGTATTTTGTTGACTGTCTCCCAGTTTGTGTTTTGTATTTTTCTAATTACTAGACTGGAATTATGAGTTTTGGGATGAATATCACAGAGATGAGGCACCTTCTTCAGTATCATTTAGAATTTTCCATTACTGTAAAAATTTTCCCTGTAATCTCTTTGTAATCAGGCCCTCCTTATACCTTCAGCTGTTGGCAACCACTTATTTATCTTCATCCTGTGGTTTTCCCTTTCCTTTAATGTCATGTAAATGAATCACACAATATGCAGCTTTTGGTTCTCTCTTCCTTCACTTTGAAAAATACATTTAAGATTTATTCATTTTGTTGAGAAAGTCAAGAGCTTGTTCTTTTTTATTATTGAATTAGTATGCCTTTGTTTTTGATATATCATAGTTAAATTCATTCACCTGTTGAAGGCCATCTTAATTTTTTTCCCTCTTGTTTTTATCTGTTATATATAAAGCTGCTATAAATATTTGAGTATCAGTTTTTGTGAGAACATAAGATTTCCTTTTTCTTAGGTTTATATCTAAGGAGTGGGAATTTTGGGTAAGTGTATTTTTAAGTTTGAAACCTAAAATGAAAGCCTCTTAAAACACAGGAGAAAATATATGTCACCTTAGATTTGCATGAATTTTTAGATATAATACCCAAACCATAATTTGTAAAAAAAAAAAAAAATCAATTATATTGTCAAAAAATTAAAACTTTTTCTTTGTATAAGACACTGTTAAGAGGATGCAAATGCAAGTCATAGACTGGGAGAAAATATTTGAAAATCATGTATCTCATAATTGTATCCGAAATATATAAAGAACTGAAATCTCAACAATAAACAGTCTAATGTAGAAATGGACAAGAAATCTCAATAGACACTTCACCAGAGAAGATATGTTGATGGGGAAAAAAAAAAAAAAAACACATGAAAAGATGATCACATATTCAGTGTTATTTGTTACAAGGAAAATTGAATGCAAATTGAAACTACATTGAGATATGACTATACAACTATTAAAATTGCTTTAAAAAAATTGACAATACCAAATGCTTCAGAGATTATGGAGCAACTCTCATTTATTGCTGGTGACAATTCAGAATAATGTAGCCACTTTGGAATACAGTTTGGCATTTTCTTATAAACGTACATTTTTTTATATGACCCAACAATTCCACTCCTTGGTATTTAGTTAAATGAAAACTGACTTTGACGGAAGCCTGCTTTTACTTTTGAAGATATTTTCACCGGATAGCAAAGTATAGTTTTGCCATTTCTTTGTCTTTTAGTACTTGTAAAAGAATGTTGTTCTATTGTCCTAGCTATGCTTTTTTCTGATAATAAGGTCCCGGAAATTCTTTTTACCTTGTTATGTACTTTATCCCCGTGACTATTTTTCTCCTCCAAATTACGGTTTATTTATATTTAAAAATACTTTGGTAATTCTGCATATGTCTATGACTAAGCTTATTTTTGATATACTTTGCTTCAAGTTTAATGACAAGTTTTATTCTGGGAAATCCTTTTTCAAGCTGAATGCCCAAATGGGGAAATACCTGTAGATTTCCAATTGCCCTGAAGTCAATAAATTGCTTTCTTGCTAATGATGATGGATGACTTTTATTTGAATTTTATGACCTGAAATATTTTCAATTCATGATGATTGTTACTATAAGGTGACACTGCTGTGGCGAAAGCTGTAATACACTATTTTTGAAGATAAGTGCTGTAAATAGTGGCTGCTTTAAATTTTTCTTTTTTATCAACACAACATTTTTTCTTTCTACCAGATAATTTTCTTTTTGACATAACATTGTATTAGTTTCAGGTGTACAACATAATGATTCGAAATTTTATATATTGTGAAATGATCACTACAATAAGTGTGCTTAACGTCTGTCACCTCTTGAAGGCAGAGATTTTTGTTTGTCTTGTTCACTGCTATAACCTCCAGTGCCTAGGACAGTGTCTTTTATGTAATAGGGAATCAATAAGTATTTTTGAATGGATGAGTGAATGAATTACGGTGTTATATAGATTTTAGGTAAAATACATGGTAGATTTGTTCTAGATGCTTTACATTCTAAATGTTGATAAGAACCATGCTGTATATTTTTTTATAGTGCAGTTTTGCTAGCACAATATTTTTTTAGGTTTTTTATATTCTGGAAAAGTCTATTTTTGAAAGATATTTTCGTTGGGTATAGAATCCTCAGTATGATAGCTTATATATCAGAGTGAATAAGCCGAGAGAATATGAGCAAGACAGAAGTTTCAGTCATTAGAATCTTATCTCAGAAGTGAAATCCTATCATTGTATCCTATTTAAGAAGCGAGTCACTAGGTCCAGCCCACACACAGGAGGAGGAGATTATATATGGGTGTAAATACAGGACACAGGGATCATAGGCAGCCATTTTAGAAATTACCTACAATACTACATGTTACATAAATTATATAAAACATAATTGGGTCTATAAAATAACGTAACTGTTAACATATATGGCATAATAACTACTTGTTTGCAAAGTGCTTCCCATAGATTATTTTAAGCCTCTCCCAGTATTTTGTGGGAGAGGCAGTATGTATTATATTCATTTTACAGATAAATTGAAGCTCTGTGAGGTTACCTAGCTCTGATGTAGCAGAACCAAGACTCTAGTCTCGGTTTTTTCAATTCTGGCACCCATATTTTTAATCTCCATATCTTGTCAGCATTAAGATAGAAGTACTTTTATTGAGCATCTCTTACATGTCAAGTATTATAGTAAATGCTTTATATATATTAACCTCATTTAAGCCTCACAGTAGCTCCATTAAAGCTCCTGATCTTAGTGGTGTTATATTCTAGTTTCCAGGTTCAAGAAATCACTTTGAAAAATTATATATTTTTTTATTATAGAGACATTAAACAGATAGAGCCCAAAGAGTCTCTGTAAATACCAAAATAAATGAATCATTTAAATGTATACTACCTTAAAAAAATGTTTTCACTAATTAAATAAGTTTGTGGAAGGAAGTCTGACACATTTCAATCCATTTAATATTCTGCAGATGAAGGATAGTATGTGAATCTCAAACAGGAATGAATTCATAAATACTTGAAAACAACCTACTCTGAGAAGAAATCTCAGCAAACATTACTATACAAATTATAGTCAGAAATTAGCTCATATAGTTAATGTTGAAATATTTTTATTAATAAATTTGGTGTGTTTTCACTAATAAATTTTTTCATAAATTGAGTGGCTTTATATCAAAGGCTGTATATACTTTCTTCAGTCTTCCCATTGTCTTTGCAAAATGAATCTTCTAGATGAGGACAGTAAGACAAAAGTAAGGACACATTATTTTCTTATGGTTAAAAGGTAACCATAAGACTGTTGATATTATGGCCTTTAGGCCAGTTTATTTTAATCATTTAAGGGTTATTTTGTCAGGAATATGTTGACAATAATAAATCTCAAAGTTTGTGAATGATTTTATTTTGAACTGTTTTTCCCATAAAAGAGCACTGTATCACTTTCTACATTTGGATTTGCTTTCTTAAGTGGGATATAAAATGCAATTGAAGCTGATGTGCTTCAATGCTGTCATATGTCATGCTAGCATATGTCATGCTAGCATATGTTGTGTATAATATCCCTCACTCATTAATTCACTAATTTATTTACTTAAAAATATTTATTGGTACCAAGTGCCAAGCACTTCTCTAAGTAGTTGGGATACATCAATCAAGTAAATGGACAGAACTCATGGAATTTACATTGTTGTAAATGCAAATGTTGGTGTTTTTTTTTAGTAAATTTGAGGAAGGAATAATCTAGCCTAATCCATATGAACCTTTGCTTGTGTTTTTTGGAGTGCTTGCCAGTTGCTTAATGACTGTGATAACCTTTGCTTGGCTAATATACATTTCATTTTTAGAATTTATCCTAAAAGTGACAATTTGCCTATCACCTGCAAAGTTAAGTGGTATAATGGCAGCTGAGCAGTGAAGTGGAGTTCATATAGGAATGAATTCATTTACAGAGAGAACATGTTTCTGTTTGAGGTAATGGAAACATTAGGTCAAAATATGTAGTTGAGTACACTTTGTTTGGTTTTGATTGATTATTCAAAGATAAATATACAAGCTCTTATACAATGATGTAAAGAAGAAAGAAAAGTGATGATGATGCTTAGAAGATTTTCAGGCTTAGAGCAAATTAATTTATCTGGTAGAATCCTGGCATACATGGTCAATTTAATATGCAGACTTGAAGCTTTTAAGGTTTTTACTTATTATTAGGCAGTTAGGTCATTTGCCAGCCTCTTGGCCCATCAACAACGTGTTTCCTTGAATCTCAGCATGAATCTCAGTGTATGCTATTTTACATATCCCACATAATTTAAATACATTTCTTACTCTTTCCACAGCATGTAGAGTCCATGAAGCACAGGACAATAAAGATTCCTACTCATACCACCAGGAGGATCTCTTTGAAAGATTTACCACGGGACTACCAGAGACACTAAATTGTCTGAAACATCATGTTTTGAAACAACAGAAGGCTACTACCTTTGCATTAACAGGAAACAGAGATAAGATGTTTTCAATTCTTTGAGCTTCAGGAAGTCAGGGGAGTGAGCTGAAAATCTGAAAATGCGGCCATGGACTGGTTCCTGGCGTTGGATTATGCTCATTCTTTTTGCCTGGGGGACCTTGCTGTTTTATATAGGTGGTCATTTGGTTCGAGATAATGACCACCCTGATCACTCTAGCCGAGAACTGTCCAAGATCCTGGCAAAGCTTGAACGCTTAAAACAGCAAAATGAAGACTTGAGGCGAATGGCTGAATCTCTCCGGTAGGTTCTAAAACACTGAAGGAAGACTGATGAAATATTGTACTTTGTTTTTAGGTGCAGGGTTTCATTCAGCTATTAAAAAAATACTTAATGGTTTCTATAAACAGTTTTTGCAAAAATTTAAGTATCTTTGTAAGATACTTTTTATACCAATGATATCTATGTGTTTAACAGAGAATTTCTTCATAGTGGCAAATCTTATTTTGTATATGAATTTTAATATAGGAAAAACTATGCCATTTTTGTCCTTTTATTTATAATTATCTTCAGCATTTTGATAATTTTGATACATTAAATACCAACTTTATATGATTTAAATTAGTGTATGTTAAATTTTTATGATATAGACTATAATAAAAAATTATAATAATTGAGAGGCTGGGTTAGTCTAAACTATAACATTAAAGTGAAGAAACAAAAATTCATCCTTAAATAAAATAACTGGATCTGGAATCTAGAGAATTATTATCATTGGGACTTCTAGTCTATTAAAAATGTGACATGTATATGATAAAAGGCATCAACTGTTTGGAAAAACAAAGTCTTGTATTTTCAGGGAGCAAATGAATATAGTGTTAGATAATCTCTGTATTTATGTTCAAAGTTATTGCGTTTAAAAGTTATGTGATATCTTCAATTTATGTATGAAGGTAATCATGTATTCAATGCTTGCTACATCTCAAGAAAGAGGTTCAAGATTTCAGAAGATGATGAGCTTGAGTCATTACTCTAGAGGTGGTAATTAATCCTATGGGAAGAAATGCAGGGAAAAAGAGCACAAAGTTAATTTTTTGAGAAACAAACGAATTAAGGAGTGGAAATCGTAAACATACTGTTGTGCATAGAGCCTTCAGGGAAGGTGGGGAGGGAGCGGGGAGAGAGCTATGTTGTGGAAGCTGAGGTGCATTTGGGACGGAAGTATATAGCTGGCAGTGTCATATTCCTTGAGGCTTTAGAGAGGATGTTCATGGCCCTCCCCTTCCCTTGCTTCCTCACCCTCACTGCACTTTACTCTTTCTTTAGAAATCAGTTCTTTCCCTTTGTTTAGTTCCATAACATTTTTCTTCACCATAATATTACTTTTAATTTTTGATGTTCTATGGAGACAATTCTAGGTGTTAAGAGTTTTACAACAGTGAATGAAATGTCGCTCCTGTCCTTTGTAGTAGTAGTACCATTCAGCAAGATACAAAGTAGTCAAGGATTAGAAAGTGGACAGATAACTTCTTGAATCTGTAAATCATTTTATTTCCTTGTTGGGAAGAGCCAGGGAGGATCATGGATAGTGTGATCTTTCAGGAGAGTCTTACTCGATTATTATGGGAACCAAAGATTGATAATTTATAGGTTAGTAGTAATAGCTATCATTTATCAAGAGTTTATTATATGCTAGGTACTGTGCCAAGGACTTCGCATAGATTATCTTATTGAATTCCACAACTTCCTTATGAGATGCTGTTTTCATAACTATTTTATGGATGAGGAATCAAAAGGATATTAAGTAATTTAGTTTTCACAAGGTCACACTTTTCATAAGTGATACACTTACTTTGAATCCTGGCAGTATGACTCAAAAGCCTGGGCTCTGATGAACTGTATTGCCTCTCTGAATAGAAACTAGAGAAAAGTCAATGATTCAAAAATCTCAGCTGAACATTTACTATATAAGATCACCAAGAGTAGCTGCGGCTCTGGTTGACTTTGGACTATGGTTTGATCATTGTAAAATCTTGTTCTACACCATGGGAATTTTGCTCTCCCAAAATGGTTTTGCCTCTTAACAATTTAGGCTCATAAATAATTGCTCACTTTTCTCCTAATTCCAACTTTAATACTGATACTTCAGTGGGATTATTTCTGACTGCCAAGTATCTTGTTCTTATTACATAAAGGAAAGCTTGCCTTTAATATGGTTTGTTCCTTCTGCAAATAATCTTTGAGTCTCATAAATAATTTTCTTTATATTTTTTTCACATTGAAATTAAATTCTCAACTACTACATTCAAATCTAGAGATCAGCTTCTAAGAGGTGAGACAATATATCATTCTGTAATATCATAAATACAAGCTGAAAACAGACTGAGCAAATGAGCCCCTTTTTATACATAGATATATAATTTCAGGAAAATAAATAATTATTTTCCCTTATTAGGGAAGAAAACCTCCTTTCGCCCTTCATCAACATTACTGGTTAGGCCATTTGTGTTTCATCCAAAGGCATTTTATTTTAGAGCCTTTGGCATAAAAGGAAGAACAGTGAATGTGCTACTGGTATTGATGTTTTTTCCCTCTTGTTATAATATTTTGTACTCAGTTTGTTACGTCGTAACAAGAAAATGTGATAATAATCGAGACTATATAGGATTAATTCAGATTTCTGTAAAACTAGGTCATTTATTTGAGATAAGGCATGTGGATTGGAATAGGAAAGCAATCCAGAAGCCAGAAACTATAATTTTTAAGATTCAGGACAGTAATTTAAAAGTAGATAACCAACCGTTCAAGTAGAATTTGCTAATTTTGTTGATAGTACTACAAGTTTAGGAAAGTTATTTAAAAATGATTAAGGGATGCAAATGTTTGAGTACAGTGTATAGGAAGTTGTGTGTTTGTGTTTGTCTTATTCTGACTTATGGATGAATAATT